GCCCAATTTGGTCTGGGCCCGAGGTGGGCTTAATAGCCGGCGACTACGGTATTGATATACTTATATTTAGATAGTGGCAGATAAGCGCACACCGATCAGTTACAGGACACACTCATCCGTCTCTGGTGCCTTTGGGGCTCTCTCTCCAGCCACGCCGCAAGGCGGTTAGTGATATAGGCAGAAAGACATTACCGACAGAGACAAGGGAGACTAGGATGGCCATTTCTGGCTTATAAACCATCATCCGAGGTGCAGTGGTTACAGCGTTGGACTTCTAATTAACAAGGTCATGTGTTTGAAGCTCAGGTGGGGCAGCTCTTGGGTTTGGGTATGACTGGCTGATAACGGCTGATAAGTCAGAAACGGCCATCCAAGTATCTCTTGTCTCTGTCGGTAATTTCCTTCTGCGTGTATATGTACATCGATATAAGTACATGTAATATGCGTATGCAACAGATTCATTTTAGCTGAGACCAACTCCATTTGCATTTATTTGTATCCATAACGGAGGTTAACACTCATGTCTCACAACTTAAATAGTAAAACAAGAGGACTAGTTCGGGTGGAGAATGAATGAACATTCATCAGAAAACTTGCACAAACTAGAATAACCCAAAGAATTTCGTAAATATGTACTCTTAGATCCTTACAACAACGGAAAGTCCTGCGCTTCCCAAAGGAATAAAATGCAATCTTTCCGAGTCAAACGACTTAGACCTCGTTGCAGGCTTCGCATCCACCACATCAACAGAAATAGGCACGAAAGACTAACGGTTTACCATCCGAAACAGCACTGTACAGCCTCTAAAAGGTCCGAATCTATTTTCAGTTCTGTCACATGAAGAATGTAAAGCAATATAGGGTACAAAAGGTGACAAAAACATCATCAATCTCCCATCGACACAATAGGCTCATTCGCTAATTTGAACAAGGTAGACTACACTGAGGAGACCCCATCATTCTTAGACTATAGACCAAACAATATGCAACATTTTGCGGACCCTACTAAGGCTCATGTTTTGTCTATTTTTGAGTTGCTTATGCATATAAAAGTGAAAAAACTGAAAGAGATATTGTTTAATCCTTGAAAAACACTGGACGGACCATCGCGAAGCTCTGTGTACTGTCTTAATTTCACAAAACTGAGATATCACCGCGACCGATAGTTTCATTAATTATTACCTTTAACTACGAGATTTTGAACGTGATTATTCCGCAAGCCTCCTCCACTCATTAGGAGACTTTACTTGAGAACCCAACGAAGTTCCTAAATAAATATGAATAAATCATAATTGTCTCCTGAGTAATAGCTCTCTTCTTCGATTCTGTCTCCCTCTTTATATAGATCCTTCTGGAATACAAAACGGCAACCACACCACACACCCCAGCATCTACACCCTAAGCGTAGCATTGGGTACTTGGATAAAAGGAAGCTTGTCTACCATGCCCCATGTGATGTCTGGGAATTTCGTCTCTACACACATTCAAGAATACGGACGAGACCAGCAGTCCCAAGCAGTCATGCATCCCGCGGACACCGGGCTCTCTTTCGCTTTAAAAAAAATCTTGCTCAGTCAGTGTACAGTGGAGCCTTGGCTGGCGAGTTTAATCCCTCCAGGCACCGAGGTCGTCATGTGAAATGCTCGTCTTGTAAAACAAAGATCCTCGTTTAAAATAATGGAGATAAAATTTATCCGCTCCACCACCGAAAAACAGCAATACGAAATTGTATAATGCCGTTTCGTCGTCAGACGACGCATCTGGGGTTTCCATGTCAATGTCTACTTACTGCACCTCTGCTTTGCCACAAAAAAATAGCTTCAGAGACAATACTACCATCTAATTGCCTTTCACCCTTCTAGGCTGACACTTAATTGGATAGTTAATTATCTTATTAATAGACAACGACCGTTTACAGTAGAATAAGGGGTCGCGAAATTATATGATGTCAATAAATCCTGCTAATCTCGTGACATTTGCCTTGTTCTATTTGCCTTTCATTTGTCCAGACCAACAACAGTTTTTCGACACCTAAGAGTTTTGACCGTTGCCCGGTAACCTTTGTAATTCCTATACCCACATCAAGCTTCTTAAATCCTTCCTTCCTCTTCAAAATGGTGCAAATTATTGGTGAGGACCTACCGTTCTCCCCGACGAGATCGGTCGCAGGAATACCAATCTCGTGCTTGGCTATGAGTTCCTTCTTCAAATCCATAGTTATAGTGTCTTGCTTCCCTTTTATAACACTATCTTTAGCAAACAACTTCTTTGGCGACACCATGTGTTATAACCTTGTGTGTTCCTCTGTCAACACAGGTTATGTCCCCCATTTGCGTGCTAGGAAGAGAAGGCATAACAGGATAGCAGTTAATAGTTTACTATCACTATTTATACTTGTACATACGCTCTGTCTTCTGCGTGTCCGGCAGCTTGGTCTTCTGTGTCTGTCAGCAGCGTATGTTCTGTCGTCGGTCTCACCTCGGTAGCATTCTCTTGTCTAAGTCAAAAGAGTCCTCTGT